TTTGGCCCCCCCGGGTTTTCCCTTTTTTGTTTCGGGTTTTTTTTTTGGGGGAAATTGGAGCGGGAAAAAAATTTCCCCCGGGAAAAAGTTTGGCCCATGATTCCCCCAGGTTGGGGCCGGGGTTGGGTTCCCTTAAAACCGCCCCCCAGGGGGTGGAAAACCAGGGGTTTTTTGGAGGGGGGGGGTTTGCCTTTTTTTTAACCCGGGGGGGGGGGTTTAAAGAAAGGGGGGGGGTTGCCCCGGGGGGATTTTTTTACGCGGGCGGCCCAAAAGTAAAGTTTTTTCGAAACGGGGGGGAAATGGGACCCCGTCCCCCCGCCAACATTCCGGGTTAACCCTTCCCTGCCCCCCCAAGGGTAAAAAGGGTCCCGGGTGGGGGGGGGGGGCCCCCCCCCCCCCCCCCCCCCCCTTGCATCTTCGGTGAACATCACGATCCAGAATAACATCGATGGCGTCCGGACACCGCTAGGAAGAAGCACAGTTGGAATGGATATGATCCCCGGCGTTTGTCCGCTTGTGCATCTATCTTAGTGCGCATCAAACAGGTTTTTCAGTATGACCTCACATTAGTCTGAAGTCGTGAGTAGAACAATCGCTCTCCATCCGCGCGCCACCCCTACGGAGTTTATCTCTGTCCTTTCTCCCCGGTGTCACCGTCCCAGGTTCAAGATGTAGCAACACCGTTATTGCAGCTACTCTCCTCCCTCCCCAATATATTCTCGACCCACACATCCCGCTTCCTCTCCTTTTCTGCTTCTTACCGGATGGCATCTCGGCGTCGCCTTTCTGGGCGAAATGCATCAGCTCCTCCGGCAGGGGGATGGGTATGGCGACCGTGGTGGGGGTCAAGGTCTTACCCTCTTCCACGAACTTGGTGGTGCATAGGTTGACCTTTTTTGGGGCGCCCCTACCCTTGAGGGATTGCTGGAAGGCGATGTGCGAAATTTTGGGTGGGGGGGACGAGGCGTGAGTCATCGACAAGCAAAGCCCTAAACACGTACGGACGTGTGTTTGGGATCGTTGGGGCATGTGAAGGATCAATGAAAGGCAATCACGCGCGCTCGAGCTCGGGAGGGGCAGGGATGGGGGGGGTGTCGGGGATATTGGCGGCGCACGGATCGATCCGTCTTGTCCAGGGCTGACTCTTGCTCTTTCGGAATCACTGCACGTGTTGATCGAAAATGTTGCAGCAGATCGATCGACAGACTCGTCTCTTCTCCCTCACCGAGCTATCGAATTCCCACCCGGACGCCATTGGTAGCGGTTGCATCCCCATCAGCAGAAGAAGTTGCTTGGCAGGATCCCAGTTGTCGCTGCTGTTGTTAGTGTCGGGTGGGGTGGCCGTCGGCCTCTCAGCAGTTCTCGGCAAGGGAGGGCGAGACGTGGAAGGAGTGCTCTCTCTGGATGTCTCTCTGGATGACGCTGACGCGGGAGCTGCCGCTCGTTGAGTTGTCGCACGACCGAGAAAGGCAACAGCAGCGGCAGCAGCAGCAGCAGCAGCAACGTGTTTTTAGAAGCAGGCGCATCTGTTTCGGCCGAAAAAAAGTGTCGTAACATCACCCAGGTCCAGCCGGTGATAGCAATATTGGAAACGCCTGCTTACCGTTGCTGCAGGTCCGGTTTGAGTGGGGCAGTGGCAGGGCTTCCCCCTTCCTGGAGCTCAAAACACGCTTGCGGAACTCCTCGGACTTGTGCTGGAATGATGTGCACTGCCTTCTGGCAACCTTTACGCGAGTACGAGAAAGACATGCCGACAAGACAGATAGAGAGAGTGAGAGACAGCGAGAGGGCGAGAGAGAGATAACGAGAGAGCGATAGCGAGAGAGAGAAAACGAGAGAGAGCGAGAGGGCGAGAGTGAGAGTGAGAGAGAGAGAGAGAGTGAGAGAGAGAGAGAGAGAGAGAGAGAGAGAGAGAGAGAGAGAGAGAGAGAGAGAGAGAGAGAGAGAGAGAGAGAGAGCGACGGGAGCAAAAATGTCTCTCTGTGACAAACAAAACCCAGATTGGACTACTGTACCACTAGATTTACCTTTGCTCAGAAAACATGAGAGGTAGACCGCAGTTCGGAAAAAAGCCTCTTGATACTGTAGGGTATTGCGTACAGGCAAATGTGATAGAGTATTTGTGGTTGAAAGATGAAACCATGGATCGGATCTACTCCGCTGAAGAACATCTATGTGCTCCAGGATCAGAGGTCTTCGGCTTGTCTAGAGAGGCAAGACCATGCCATCGGCAAGCGGCGCGGAACGACCAACGCACGCATGCCGAGATAATAGCATTTTCGTGGGCCAATGGATCTTGGTGTCTAGCATCGCCTGTTCGCCGTTTGTCTTTCGTTCTCGGGTACTGACCTCTCTTAACTGCGTGACAACCTCGATGACCGACTCGACCACCGTCGTTGACATGTCCGCTTCGACAACCCTGCACCATAGAAAATGGAAAATTGCGAGGTCAACACAACAGGGCTACATCGAAGGCCAGCGACCAATTTTGTACGGCCGCACCACGATGAGACAGAAGACAACGGCATTTCACGCCACAAGCATACCATAGATATTTCTAGTACGTTTCCGTCAGCTAACCGTTGAAATACTCCACGGGAACGACAAAAATGTTGTCGATGAACCGACATCCGGAACAGGCCTTGGCGTGCCATCTATCGCCGGTTCGTGCGTTGTGCTTTCATTTGTTGGTAGCACCCGTGCCGTGTTGAATGACTGGCTTCACCTGAACACAAGGCGCTTCACTTGGCGAATCTCGTCGTCGTTGTCTGAAGAGAGGGGATGATAGCAGCAAACGCGGAAAAGGAACGATGTCATGAAATCTACTTCTATGCAACAGAACCGAGGAGCTAGCCATCTGACTAGCTCAGAGAAGGGGGACTTGTGTTGCAAGGAAATAAGGATGAACCACTAGTGCAGTGTTACAATAGCTCAAATTAACGCGCACATGCAAGCTTTGATAGACGGCCCAAACCTTCCACTTCTAAGTTTTTTTTCTGACATACTGGAGAGTTTCGCATTCTTCGCAACAGATCAACCCCATCACATTTGGCATAGGTCGTTTTCTCTGTTGACGCTTTAACCTAATCTCCGTACACGCCATGATACACGCGATTGTTTTGCTTAACGCGCTTGGCAAAACCGTCTCTCGAACATCATATCATGGCACCACGCCTTCTTACATGTGATTTCGAGATCCTCCTCATCATCAGAGGTCTGAGAGGAGTCGGACAACAAGTAGTCGTGGTCGTGGTCGTTCAATCTCTCCAGCATGCTCCGTTGCTCTTCATATCTTGGCCCTTGTCCTCCCGTGTCGCCGTGCTCAGCATCGCCGCCGGTGTTGGCGTCACAGGAGGTGCTCGGTCCTAAGCCCCACCCTGTCACGGACTCGTGTTTCCCGACACTTAGAACACAAGAAGACGACGAACGAGGGGATCGAAAGACGGGCATGACAGGAGAAAGAGGAAACAAGCTGCAGGGACAGATGTGTATCTCGTGAGAGTTTGCACCTTGATAAGGCATTCAGGCTGTTCGCAGGCCTCGCATGGTTTGCACCAAGAAAGGCCGGGCGCGAGACGCCTCATTACCAGTTGCCGGTTGTTGCCTTGGGGCATGAATGGACCGTGCAGACGTTTTAAACTATTGGGGGTGAAACCCGTTGTTGGTGTCAAGAGGACGCCGCTGGCCACGCGGTTGCATAAACCATGATCGTTGCGCGTCGCTCCCTCGTGCATCGTCCAACAGATGACAGTCTAGAGTGTACATGTGCGTACGGGGCGTGGCCTCGTCAAGGAATTGGGGAAGGGAGGGAAGGGAAGGGGGCAGGGACGGACGGCAGAAAGCAACAAGGAACGAGTGGAAGAAGTACTAGGAAGTACCGGTTCTGCTCTTCTTCTGGATACCGGATGATAGCGGTGACGATACCTGGTTGCCTTTGTCGGGGGTTGTGCGGCGGTGACCCTGCTGCAGCTTGGCGGTCTCCTCGAAGACACCCCCGGCACTGCTTTCGTCACAGAGGGCCGGATCCTCGTCAAGGCGGCCGCTTTGCCGGCGGCATCGACAGCCCCGGGCACTGATCGTGCGCCCTCGTGTTGGTCAGTGTCGTAGTCGTCATCGTTCTCGTCTTGGGTGTTGGTGTTGTTGTTGTTGTTGTTGTTGTTGTTGTTGTTGTTTTCGTGGCAGTGAGCTGCACCGTCGGTGGGGTGGGTTCACATGGATGGCGACGCCATTGCCGAGGCGAAGTTGTCGTTGCAAACGCAGAGAAGAGGGTATAGCGAAGGGAGAGGGTGCGGTGAGCGCTTTCGGCGAAGAGTGCTGCCTAGTCAAGATATGTGGAACGCTGGAATAAACGTACGGAAAAACAGACTGTCAGTTGTCTCTGTTGGAATACCTCCAGATTGGATGGAGCTCTTGCGCGCCTGGTGGCGTGGCAGACACCTCTATACCTGTCCACTTTTGTTTGGAGCGTGAGCCGATACAAATCGTTGGGTAACCACTCCTACAGCTGCAAGTATGTATAACACCAACGAATCGCTATGATGTACCTATGCATATGGCCGACAAATACCGACCCAATACTGCTGGAACACATCGACAAACTCAGACCAGCGATCGACATGTGGTACGCGCCTGGGGTCTCCGCCACAATGTCCTGGAAGACGTTGAATTTGCTGTTCAGGTTCCTGGCAATAGTGATGGCATTGCCAGCAGAATCGGCAAAACCAGCAACGCCAACACCGGCGGCAGTATTCGCAGGGTCAACAGCACTTGGTCCGGCACTGGCGACCTGGTCTTGTTCAGATCCGCCCGGCGCTTTGACGCTGTTGTTCAATCTCCCCTGTAGACGTTTCATGTGTACGGCGTTCAGAATACCGGAGTCAGGGTCACAAAAGGTTCCTTCTCAGAAATGAACGAACCCTGGGGGAGTTGCTGGTTGAAAGGGGAAACTGCAGAGATTTTGACGTAGAAAAAGCAGATTTTCTTGTCATCGGCCGGGGCAGGACAAGAAGGCGACGCGTTGCCGCCTTAGCAAGGTTTGATGAAAACATATCACCAATAGCAGTACAGTTCTGCTTCACCTTTGTCGGAAACTCCCCCTACATAGGAATCTCCACGACTTCCTCCAAGTGCACATCTTGAGAATGTTTCCCCCCAATTCTGACTCGTGTACTTTGGCCAGCACCGCGGTCAGTGCTACCATACGATGCCACAAGCATGCCATGCGTCGAGAACGACATCCGCGAGAAAAAACTTGGGGGGCGTGCGGGCAAGAAAACGCTTTGTTAGAGCGTTTTTTGATCCGGCGAAGACAACAGGTATTTCATCGGTCAACTGGACAGTGCGATTGATACCCGAGAAAGAGAAGGTCATGCATACACCGCAAGGGTCGAGGGACCCCCCAACCACCTGTTTTTTTTCCCCCCGGGAAGACTGACGTCGGCCTACTAACGCGGGCGATGCTATCTAAGGAAAATGTTTAGACCGGCACGATGCAAACAGACACAAAAATAATTACATCATTGTGTCAAGGCCCCAGGAACAAACGTTCGATGGTGTCGGGACGAAAAAGGGCCACGTCAACCATTCCGCACACCACACAGCCACTAACTACACGACGGCAACATCGTTGACGACTAGCGCCCAAAATCAGCGAGATGCAGAGCTGCTGCAAGTATCCTACAGAAAAAAGTAGGTGTTCGTCGTTGAGCCTGACCCAAGCATTTTTACTTTCGAAAGACTCGCTCACAAGAACGTCCGCAGAACACGTTGGCGCGGCAGAACGTCCGGTAAGTGTGGCAGAATATTTCACCCCGATAGTCCCCGGCCTGTCACTTCCGCCCAACACGACTGCTGTTGAGAACGAGCCACTGCATTATTGCACCTTTGCCGCGAGCCGATCGTTCACCCACCTCTGAGGTTGTCTTTGGCCCTTGGTTGTTGCTAGTGATGGTGCCCCCTGTACGTGTAGCCTTGAGCCTGCTCATCCTGTGAGCTCGGATGCTGGCAACGCTGCCACCCGAACCGCTCGCCGCCAGGCTGTATTCGGTTGGTGAGTACATGGAACGCATCCTATCTTACTTGTGGTTTCCGCGGTCGACTGTTCGGGGTGTGTATTGTAGACTATGGTGCTTTGCCGACCCGTGCATGTCGACCGACTCTTTCAGCGACTGAACTGACGCTTAATTTCGAAGGGAGGATACGGCAAGTAGTAGGAACTATCAAATATCGTTAGGTATTCCACAAATCGTTACCCCGAACTCGTCGAATTTTTTTCCCTGAACAAGATGTTTCCTCATAAGCTGCTGTAATGGACCGCAAGGGTGGAGCACTGGTCGAGTATTCTCATGTAGACAGACGGTTTTTCCCTGCTGCATCGGTGCCGAACACAGTGAGTGGTCGACCACATTCGAAAATGGCGGGCCTTTGATGTTGCTACCGCACCTTGCTTGGTGTTGCCTGCCCCCTGGTATTGTCCTTGTTACGTGCCTGTCAACCCCTCCCGTGCCCTGTATCCGGAACGATAAGGTGTGTACGTGTCATCGAGGGAAAGGGAGAGGTTCATGGAGGACGTTCTAATGACGGTCATGAACGATCTTTGGTGCAACAGCGAATTTGACAACGTCTACCCTGACTATGTCATCTTCAGTCAACCACACTACTGTAACGTACTCGGGATGTATATACAGAAGTACCAGGCCCACCGGTCGTGTGTTGCTTGCAAGTAGCGTACGCTACGATGCGATAAGTTGTCGACAAGCGGCCGTCGGCACCTAGCGGCACCTTTTGCGGCAACCACAAACGCGGTTGTTTCAGATTCGAAAAAACAACAAGCAGAGTTTATTGTTCTGCTTTTCATCAATCGTAGTAGTTGCTGTGCGCCTCGCTGTTGTTCGTCAAGCCCGAGCTCTCAGACTCGGTACCTCTCGAGTACGCCCCCAGATAGATCCCGCTTCAAACCAACTCTGGATGCCCTGGCCACTCACTGAATTCATGGCGGCTTTACTACCCCGTACTCCGGCGCCCCTCGTGCTCGACACCGATCCGTTGGTAGACTGTGATGCCGCCCTACCACTAGCCGCACGCCCCCCTACTTTAGGAGGGGCGGCAGAAAAAGTCAACTTAGTAGGAGCCCGAGAAGACCCCCCAGCCCTCCGCTGGAAGACGTAGTCGGTGAGGTTGAGAAGGGCCGGGGAGAGGTCGGCCACACCGGGGACGGCGGACAGCACCACGACTCTCTTCAGCACGGCTCTGACACGTCGAACACGTTTTGCGGAACGCAGTATGATGAGGTAAATGCGAAGCTTGGCGGGGTAGCTGACGGCTACGAACCAGCCGCGACATGCGGGAACGTTTGACTTAAAGATTACGTGCTTCTCATGTAAAAAAAACTCGCGTTGTCGGCGTTAGCGGCAGAACGCCTCTGTGAAGTGTTCATGGGCATATATATGGGGCTCAACACATGACAGTGGGATAGCCGGAAATGCAGAGAATTATGAATGCGTGGGGGGGGCACGTCACATGAATGCTTCTGTAAGTGAAGGGTGCGACTTCACTCCTTATCGGCTTCAGCACTCAAAACAAGTGGAAGATACGCAACCGGAGAACAGGAGGCTCATTTCATTCTCTTCGTTGCAAGCGCGAGTACGTACTCCAGAAAATGCCCAACTTTGCTCGACACGCAAAGAAGAATGAAGGGCCGAGAACCATAGTGTTGGGGTTCCTTGTGCAAACGCTTACTCGATGTGCATCCCTCCGACAGAAGTAGCTTCCTCCAGGAGCACCTTAAGGACCGTCGTGAACCTGCTCGCGATTGTTGCGTGCAACACGTAGTGACGGCGTACGGAAGGGTTGAGGTCGAGAAAGCATTGGGTTGCGCCACCCCCCAAAACGACCGTCTGTAACCGTTGATATTGGTGGCAGCAGGGGACTAAAAAATATATTCTCCCGATGGTTCGGGCAAGCGCTCGCACAGGGGGGGCAATGGCCTCAAAACTTTTGGTCAGTAAAAAAGGAAAATGGGTGGCACCTTCATTGTTGGTTGAAGAACCCATTGTACTTTCTAGTGCAACCAACAGCTACAGGCAATATCTTTGAGGTATACCCATTCGCTCGTTCGTTATTGAGCGAGGAAAAATAGTCAACGCTTTCAGTCTTCGAGTGATCGGTAGCGTATGCCTCTTCTGATACAATTGCAGCGGAGGCGCTCTTGTGCCGGACGAGAATGAAATATCCGAAGGCTCCGCTGGCCGCACGTATCGTGCTTGCTTGTGCATCCGTACCGGGCCGTGCTTACGGCATGTAACAGGGGCACGGCAGTATCCTACCGATGTGTTCGCTTCGTGAAGTTTCAAGAAAAATTCGCTGTAGTCTACATGCCCAGGGTACATTCGTCCTGCGTAGGACCAAAATACCCCAGAGCTCCACAGGCCGTGAATCCGCCTGTACCGAAATCATATGCCCCCGTTTCATCACTTGTCCCACTGACCTGGGGTCCGACAATAGATCGAGGAGCAATTCTTCGTTCCCCGAGAGGCACCTCATGGCCAAGGAGCACAGGTCTCGAACCTCGTGTTCCTCGGTCGGAAGAACTTTCAGGAACACGTCCAGGCAGCCCTTCAAGCGATTGTTCGGGGATTTTGGGAAGAAGTCGCTTTGACGATGCATAGCTTCTGATACGGATGCCCGGAACTCATCGAGCTGAGATCGGCGGGGGTGTGCAGCCCATCGCCCCAAGACTATGTGGTGACCAGATGTTGGTGCACGAACCGTTGTTTCCATGCTTGAATACACACACACTTAAAGGGCGGATGGAATTTTCTACAGGACAATGAGCAGAGTTTGCCTGCGCCTAGATGGAGTCGGGCGGTGGAATGCCGTCTTCTTCCACAGGTACCGAGAGCTGAGATCATTTCAACTGCGAAATCCGCCTACGTCCCAGAGGCATAACTCGTGGAGCAAGGTCGCGGTACATAGGCTATCGCACGCATATGGCAAGTCGAAGCGGCTTGATAGGGTTCCAATCGAAAAATGTATACGTTGGACGAATTGGACGGATCCCGACGTGTCAACGTGGTCATAAACGTACGCGCCCACATGAGAGGACAAACTGCATGGCGTCACCATTTTGAAACTCGGCGGATTTCACAGTTGAAAAGCCCCCCTTGTCTAGCCGCGTATCGTGGCCAAGACTAGTTCACCACGTCCACAATCTATGCAACATCTCTTGGGTGATATCCTGGGCGAAGGGATGATGTGTGGTGTCCCAAGTACTTTCTCATGTCCTGGGCTCGACCCACCAAATTATTTATGCTGGAACGTGTTGACAGGGTGGTGCAGCCTACCCCCCCTGCCAGGGTCGCTATATTGCTACTATTCGTTAGCTGATTTGAACTCAAAATGCGTAGACTGTACACACCTCGCACACCGATTGCACCGCTTTGGCCGGCATGTCTGGCAAGTGCACTGTGACCACCGCGCAGCAGAGCGCCGACACCTTTACAAGCGCGGAAGAGGTCTCGTCGTAGTCCGAGTCGTCCTCGCCAACGAGAGATAACGCCGAAACGGCTCTCGAATCCGCCGAGAAGTCCATCGTCAAGGCCAGAAGCTGAAGCAATAGAAACATATTTGTTTCGCCGTCTCAAAGTGCATGAATGTAATATTTCTTCTCGTTTCTGTTGCGTAGACACGGGTGCACAATATGGTTTGGTTTTACGCGTTTTTTACGGAAATTCAGCAAGCTAAACGCTATCGTTGACGTTTTGGCGTTAAAACTGACCTACCTGTAGGTTTACAAGTCCTCATATAACATGTGGAAATAGCTTCCGTGTGAGTAAACAGCCTCTGCAATACAGTGTAGAAATCTTGTGTATCTCGCTGCCTAAGTTGGGAAAGGTCGTAACTTTGTTGTTTTGAAACGGTTTTGCGTGTAGTATAGTTTTTGCCACCTCATTGTGTTTTTTCAACATTGTATTTAATCGATTTCGTGACTGGCCCTCGTAACCAACGCTAGGTTGATGTGTGGGAATAACTTCTCTTCAACCACTGGGGATCTTGTTGTGGAAGAATCAATGGTTCTGCGCTGTCGCCATCGTCGTCGTCGATGTCGCTGAAGTAGGCGTTTCTATCCCGACTTCAACATCTCCAAGCATACGTCCTTGTAGAGGGTGTATAGCCCATCCCTCGTACCAAACGGATTGTTGCATTGTCTCTTGTCAAAATGCTACCAAGAGTCAAGCCGAGGTCGGCCCTAACAACACAGGTGTACTGAATGATTCTCCACGAACCTCTGCACCCCTCTGCTTGACTGCCGCAGAAGCCGCCACCTTGTCCATGAAGAAGATTCTAGTGACCGTCGAGATCGCGTAGCGCATGTGCTCTCGAGCCTGGATTCCGACCATCAGTTCGTACACGTTGGCGAAAGGGTAGCGCGTTGGTCGCCGGTTGGACATTCGGTGTAGAGTTTTCGGATGCTGTTTTTTATTCCTATTGACCAGTAGAAAATGACCTCCCGTGCCTATTCGCGCTACTGGTGCGGTGTCGACTGGTACTGTTCGCTCCTTGCTGCGTGGAAAGAGCGGCACATTGTGAGCCAAGTCAAAGTCGCTTGAGCCAGTGAATGTTAAGATAGTGGTTGGATTTAATGGTGAATAGTAACGTCTAGGCATACGTCACAAACATCACCGGGCATTCCACTCGCAACCCCTCCGTGATTTGAAGCAGAACTACATTTGGATGTGGAGTCTGTTGGGGTGACCCCGAAAACTTTACCTCGGGAAGCATTTGTTCGGAGGAGGGAAAAAGAAGAGATGAGATGTTGGGGAATACAAGTCAAAATGAATTTTCGTATGAAGAGAACAACGGAGAAGCAAGAGGCACAGAGAAGTAGCACAAAGGTACCCGAAACAAAAATCAGCTGTGAGCGCTCCCTCTTGAATTACTCGAAATTTGAAAAATGCGGTTGCAGAGCTATGACCGATCGAATCCCTTGAGGTCGAACCGGACGCAACATACTGCACCAACGCGCTTCCTACGACGCTATGCATAGTTCCACTCACCCCAGCCTCGAGGGTCGCCGCCGTGCTCTCCCACAGCGTCCATAGGGCCGAAACAGCCTTGCACTCGACGACCGCCTCCCTGCAGAACAACATCCACATCCGCACTTGCGTCCCCCCGCCGGCGTGGTCTTTTCCAGCAGAAGCAGGGGCAGCGGTGGTGGTGTCGTCGTTATTCCCCGAGCCAGGAATACCTAGCAGCAGGAGAGACCACAGCGAAGCCAGCCGTACGGCCACTATTCGCGAGTCCAGGCCCTGCTTGTTGGAGGTCATTCATCGTTGAGGGGCGCTTGTCATCGTTCTCGTTCTCGTTCTCAATCTCGGTGTTGTTGTTGCTGTTGTTGTCGTCGTCTCCAGGGTTGGTCCAAACCCTCCACTTGATGTATTCAATATTGTGAGAAAAACTAGGAGTATCGAAAGTGTACGTCACGTCCAAATGCTGTCTGCTTCTCTCGAAAACAACTTCGCTGTCTAGTTTGATGTATCTGCAGCAGGACGGCTGTTGGATACTTTCAGCCCAGACCTGAAGCCTCCGGTTTCGTTTCCACAAACCTGCGTGATGGCTGGCGTAACGTGCCTCTCGATGAGCTTGGGAACCAGAGCCGCGTTTTCTATCATCGTGCTTAGCACGGCCACGCACATTATCTCCACCTGGGCGACGGTGGCCCAACAATCCCGGTCAAAATCAACAGGGTGCTGAGTTTGTTCGCCCCTGCAACGGTGAATGATATTATCCTCGCTTGCGGAAAAAGTTTCGATCCCAGTCAATTCATTCTGTCACACGAAGTGCATATCCTGATGTACGTGGAAATGACAAGCTTCATACCGATTGCTGAGCATGTGAGGTAGACCACTGAGATTGTGCCAAAGAATGGTTGGTATGGGCACACTCGGTTGTCCAGGACTGAGCGTACAGAACAAATCTACAATAGGTGCAGCACTTTTTGCATGTGTGTGCCCCTTTCACACGACTCAGGTGGTTTGAGCGGGGGGGGAAGGAGGGTCGACAAAATGCCCTCAGATGAGTCCTCATCGGGTTCGCGGGTTTAGAAAGAGGGCGCCGTCAAGGTTGACTTTATCGTTATCGTTGAGTGAATTGTTTTTCATATTTGTGGCGTGTAGAGTCGACCCCGAAGATCGTGTCAGGGCTTACCGTCCAAATCGCTCGGAAGAGGCCAACGGCAAGGTTGTCACCGACAACTACAGATTCATCATCGACAACAGTGATATCAACAACGAACGACAGAAACGACGAAAACAGCGACGTCATGGTCTCCTGGGACCAGTGAAGCCTCCATCGGCAAATCGATACCTGGGGGTGGTAGTAGGTCTCATCTTGTGCCTTGCGCATCTCTTCAAGTAGGCCCGTCACCGCCTCCGGGATGTTTTTTCGGAAGAAAAGCTTGGTGGCCTTGCCACTCTTGCAGCACAAGTTGTACACCTATGTAGTTCGTTGGCAATTGGCAGTGTCCGTAAGGCCTTGGATAAGCTGCCCTAAGCCAGCTTATGGTCGTTCGCCAACGGATTCATTCGCAACGACTACAGTAGAGCTAGCGTTCATCGGCTCACCGTTGCCAGTGTGGGCATGAGGTGCGACGCCACAAAGGTGCGTCGGAGGCGGCCCTGCTGCTTGTAACCGAAGTACTTAGACTTGGAGAAGCTTCTCTGCCTGTCCGTCGCGTTTTCCTCTTCCGATGAGCTGTCGTTTCCTTCGTCGTCGCCTGGCTTCAATGCTGAAAAATCAGCAATTATTTCGGATGGACCGAAAAGTGCGAGGAGGACGAAATCCAGTCAGTCGCTAACGACATGGTCTACACAGGCGATCCAAAGGGCGAGTCGCAGTGGAGCGTGCTTCAACAACTTTAGCGTCTGGACGTTGTTTCCTAGATGTTCACCTCGTATCTGTTTTTCCTATCTTAGGTAAACGATATGTTGGCAGAGCATGTTTTAGGCTTCAACTTTCGAAGACCGGCACCCACGAAAAACTTGTTTGGACTCGCTGTCGTTCTTACTTGTACTTTCCCTTTCCTTTTCGTCATCTCTTTGTTGTGTCAATTGAAGTTCTGATAGAAACCAGCACAGGCTGCCAAGAGCAGTGCCGCAAGATGATGGCAGGTTGTGGTACGGTGAAACGCCGACACCCCTCTAGTCGAGTAGTTCAGAGGAGGAGGCAACCATGCCATTCTTCGCGAGGGAAAACAGGCGAGGAAGATAAGGGACAAAATGCCCCCAAAAGACCGATCTAGCCTTGAAAGGAGTTGTCGCAAGCGGGGTTGGTTGCGTTCGGCTCTTCCGCACAACTCGTACTGAACGAATAGCAAGCACCACATTACAGTATCTCCTTTGACCTTCGGAAATAAAAGATAAAAACGACACATTGCTTTTACGAGCTGCCCTGTGGGGTTGCGATGCTTGCTATTTTCTCGGTGAATAGGAGACTCTCGAGGTGGGAAGACGGCAGCAACGTCAGCCGTCATGACTGGGGTGCGAATGCATGCACCATTTTCCTGACCCTGATGCGTGGGAAACTCATTAGGTTGTCCCTACCCACTGTAGGAAAGGTGGTACACAACAACAATGAACCAATCAACACTACCAGGGGGTGACAGATATGTGTGCCCTTCGTAAGCGTCAAACTGTCTCATCATGTACCTGTACCAGGGTACATAGCACAATAGTTTGCCATGCTGTACCTACCTGCTGTTGTCCGAGCCATGAACTTTTTGTCTTCTTCCAGGGCTCTGTCCCTCTTGAGAAACTTGGCACCTTCGATCTTCACCCTCGCCTCTAGAGCCATTCTCGTTGATATGAGCATCTGATTAGGTCGCACAGTGTGCACGTATAGCAGTGTTTACGCAACATAATTGAGCAGGAATTGACCTGCATACCGAAACATTGTACAGCACGTAGTAAATTGTTATAGTGGCGATGTCAAATTTGTGGTATCTGGTAAACCCGGTACGGTATGGGTGGATGGAGACAGCCCTTCTGTTTCGTCGTGGTATCTGAAGTTCCAATAGGCTGTGTGCGTCAATGATACACAACACGTAGAACTATGTGTAAGGCGGCATACATGTTGCAAGGCTTCGCATAGGAGAGTTTAGCTTTGATACTTCCTCCCGCACGATCAATACGGCCCCCGAACCATACTGACAGGTGCTATCTCGGGAACTGCATATATTGATGCTGATTCACCACTCACATATCAGCGTGAGTACACAAACATCCATGTCGCCTTTCTGAGTTGCGGCGTTGAGTCGAACACAGCCGGCAATTTGTGAGGCACATTTCTGCAAGTGTTTCGAATCTAAGACATGACGCGACTCTTTCTGCCGCCGCGTAGGTACAAGTGATCTTGCCTGAGGCGGATTTCCTGGGAGGCGCGTTCTTTGCATTCATCCATTCGTGCGCATGCTTAAACAAAACCTCTTCTTGGTGTTCGTTCCACGACACGCACCTGACTGAGGCGGCGATGGTGAGTGGACGCGAGGTAGAGCAGGCCGGTGAAGGCCGGTGCGCCTAGCACCTCGTCGTCGAAATCCAACACGGCTGCCACAGTGTTTTCGTTCAGCCATCTAGCGTTCTCTCTGTACGATGAGCGTGCGCGAACGGGTGCGAATACAAAAGGTAGACACGCTCCGTTGATGGACACGCAAATAACACAAAGAAAGCTTTACTCACGACGAAGACAGTGAAGGGAACATGCCGTCTACGAAGAGATATCCCGAAAGAGGAACGCCAGCCTGAGAAATAAGCGTGGTGGTCATTGTTAACCCAAGCAGAGCGTTGTGGGTGAAACGTACTACTGATCGCTGCTACCGTACAGGCTGTTGTGTTCTGCACCATTTGGTGCGTTCTCGAAGTATTTCTGGCCAACCAGGAAAGACAGGCACATGGAGAGATGGGATCACCCACGCGTATTATGTCCTGGCGACAGGTGGTGTTAAACGACATCCAAACAGTTTTCGTAGAACATCTAGCAGGTCAAACTTGGTAGTGAAGATCACGTTATTCGAATGCCCTTGAGATTTTTCAGGATGGTGTGGAACCCAAAAGAAGTGATGAAAGCCAGCCTCCACCCTGTCGAGAGGGGTAGCTGAGATTGAAGAACCCTTCAAACGATCGTCGAACGTTTTCCTAAATATGTAGCCGGCATTGTTGCCAAAATGATTTCTTCTCATGGTGTCTGATTGCGCTACGAGTACTGCCTACTGCCTGCCGAAAGCAAACCACTGTGGGCTATGACCAGACCGCGGTAACTGTAGACGAACTATTAGCCCACCGTAGATCGCATGCGAGGTTGAAGAGGGCCAGGAGGGCCAGTCGCATGGACACGGTACTGCCGTTCGCGTCCGCCAGCTGGACTAGCGCCCACAGCCCTTGGCCTTTCAGAGCCGTTAGCCTCGTGCTTGGGTTGGAGATGAGGTAGTACAGCACCTCTGAAGACATCTCCTTCATGTATGAGCTGCACCATGAAGTACATGCAAGTGTTGGTGTTTCGTCATCAACAAAATCCTCTCAGAATCACGTTTCCCATACGAGGGCAAACCACGCCAACAAACTACCGGGCGGAATAGGAAGAGCTTCGATATGCATGGGACACAGTCCAGATGAGATAATTTCGCTTCGAGCTTATGACGACCGAACCTGCTTGAGAGGAATGCACGAAATGAAAAATGTTTGTTCGTTCGTCCGATAGTTCTTCCGACGGTACGCAGACAAGCAAGCCGGCTTCTTTTCTTGGTGGCCTATGGCACGAAGCAACAACAGACAGACGACAATGGCATCAAATTGGGCCAATGCTTCGCGGCTACGATGGCAATTTCCTCTGAGTCACACGTTTCCCCCGTTCAATATTTAGGGGGGACTTGGCCCTCCATCTTGTAGCCTCTTGGTGTATTCGACAATCACGAAATTGTCGCCGTCGTTCTCATCGATTGAAAGACAACGACACCATTCTCCTAAGGAAAACCTGACGCGTGGTACACATGGGTACCGGCAGATGCACTACGCGTTTGTTCGTCGGCTGGTCTGGAATACAACACGGAGGCCCCTCGTCATTGGTTGCAGGTAATACTTTCGAAACTAATACGTAGTCAGTCTTGATTTTGATGGTGGATATTCCACGACTCTTTTCGTTGCTTGTCGGGCAACCACATGCTGCTGCTAACCGTTGGTATGTTGGCTTCTAACACACGGGCAAAAACAATCTAGCCTTCGCTGTCAACCCTGTTGCGGCGAGGTAAAAACTCTACCGGCGTACCATGTAACTCGATTACCTGTTTGTATGGACCATGCACCCCACGATGAAACCCTCCATCAGGTCAGGATCGCTAGCGATGGAAGCGGCGAAATCTTTGTTGTGCGCCATGTTACAGAAGGCCTGCAGCAGAAGCATATCGATCGTATGGTTCGTCAAGAAGTTTGGTTTTATAGTAGACGCAATGAAAGGTTGTCCCGTAGTGTGCATTATTTTATTTGGGCCGATAATAGACGGCCCATATGGATTGGAGTTTCATGGATGGATGTGGAATGATTCAAGCTTGCTTCAACAATCAACCCAGTGTCCCCAAGAAGACCAGGACTAGCTCACTCTTGACAACACGCAGTCGGCAGTCAGACGGCCTCCCTTCACATGTGGTGTAGCGGATGTCATTCTTCTACGTATGTGTATGTTGCCTTCACACAAAACAAAAACGCTCCCCAACCTATAAACAAGTCCGGCCTGCATAATACTCACCACGAGATCCAAAAATAAAACCTCATTGAGTCAATTAGAGGTCAACCTTGTTTGCATAGCGGGAGAGGCACCTAGCTGATGACTGTGGTGTCAGCGCCAACCAATGGCAGTTTCACGTGGTGGTCGATCTGAATCACGCCACCGGTGGACCAGGGATTGCCGACCAGTGTGAATACTGCGGCACCGTTTACCTGCAAGCAGTAGTTCTGCGTCTGCGGTACCCCGGACCGAAAAAGCTTGAAGATGACGTCACCCAAACCCCTCAAGTCCGGAAGAATGTTCACGTAGTCACGCTTGCGGGTGAGGCCATAGAGGATGGCGCTGGTCCTGAAGGCGAGGCGCTGAGGAAAAGGGAAAAAGAGGGAGGGGAGACAAAGGGTGGGGGTGAGAGAAAGCACGCGCCAGGTAGCCCAAAGATGAATCCACGTAAACAGTCAAGACACAGAGGATAAATTACTAAAGGGAAATGATGCAGGGAGGTATTTGTACCGGGGATTGTCTTCAAGGGCCGATCAGTCAACAAGGCAGACACCCGAGAACATCCGTCCTTAACGTTGCTAAAAGCCTTTGTGTTCGTCGTTGTGCGCCGTTCGTTCTTGTGGGTCGCCGATTTGCCGCAGTTTTTCACAGTCTCTTGCCAATGGAAATAACCCGCAACAAAATCGCGGAATGGAACAAGAAGAGAAGTACGCACCATCTGTTACGTTACCTGATCGTCTACACATGCCAGGCGTTTCAAGGCATCGAACAACGTGATCCTAGATTTCCATCTCGGTGGCCCTCCCTCGTCGCTGGAGGAGGCCACGATAACTCTCGAGAGGTTTCCCAGGACGCCGGACACGTGCCTCAGTACGACCAGCCTCGGAGACAGAGCCTGGTCCACACATGAAGGTCGAAAATCGCTTTCATTTGATGTTTGCCTTACTTGATTGGCGCGCAACCACAGAATAGTCTTGGTCATCAGCAACTTAGGTCGGGAGCAATCACGTAGGCACAATCAGGAATAACCTAATTGAAACAACACAACATCCGTCAAACTCCACGGCACACGTGAACATTCATCCGATGAACCACGGTGCTCAATGTACACGCCAGCAGAAGTCTCCACCTTTTCGTAACTCGCGGAGACACAACACTGTTTAAGTCTACAAGTAGGTGTGTGAGCGTTCACCTGCTGGAGTATGCTATCCAGTGCTCCTGTGTGCTCCAGCATCACTAGGTCGCAGCACACGTCGTGAGACAGGTTACACATGATGGCCATCGACACTTCGTTCACCTGAGCACGGTTTTCCGACAAACAGCGGTCAATGGACCTGAGCTCGATCGATGAATTCATTCGAAAGAAGCACGCGCCGTGCGAATTAGTGCAGACACTTTTCGAGGAGAAAGGGAACTGAAGCCATTGTCTGATTCTTGCGCGTCATCTCGCCTGGGTGCCTGCGACGCTGCAGCTGACCAGCATCCTAAGCAGGTCCTCCTTCATGCCTTCTAGAAGAGGATCCAGCCTCACCCACTTGTGCTTGAGAATGGCGTGGAGGGATCGAAGGCAGGCCTGTCGCCACAATGGAGGAGTGAACATGAAACAGGATGCCACAATGAAGCAGGACGACGTTGCACGTAGGCCACACGCTTAGGACATTGATGGTTCACTCCGGGAACACTTGGTGGTCCAAGAACATTGAGATGTTTTCGCAACTACAGGTGATCCGAGCCTCGCCATTTCCGACGTATCAACCCAAGACCGTGCCATCAACTGGTGTTTAGGTCGGAGGCGTCACCAAGGACAACGACTTGAGAACACACTATACGGTGGAAACCAAGTGAAACAGAGACTTTCAACATCGATCAGATCGGCCAAATCGGGTGGAAACAGCGAAGGTCGTTTCTTGGTTTTCAGGGGATCAATTTCATCCCGTGAACCCGACGTGCTGCGTACTCTGCGCGTGCTAGGGAAACGGGAGTGTCAGGGTTGGGGATGTACCTCCTGCATAGCGTGTATTTGGGGGGTGTAAAAAAATTGGTTGAATTTCAACACGGTACGACACGCGTTTATGTACCCATTCTTGTGGTGGCGCTTCTAATGGCCTGTCGAGCAATCGTGGAAACTGGTGTTCACGTTCCAGATGGCCCCGTCGCAGTCATTCATCTCAGGGCAGGGGCTAGGCTAGCGGCCAAGAACAAGGAATGACGCTTGTGAATTCCGTTAAGATATTGACAAACAACATTTTTGTCAAACGTTAACGTCCATCTACGAACAAGGAGACTGCCCTACAATCTTCGCTGAAAAACAATTTAAACCGATTTCAGCGGCATATGCGTGGTTGGAGAGCTCTCTAGCGCATATTTACGACTTTGGGCGTTCTCGTTGGACGCCGTTGGTTGCGAACATAAGAATTTTATCCCCTTCCTCGACTCAGTATTTGGTTTTGATCGATTAGCGCCTTCGGACGGCTTCCTTCGAACGCCGAAGACGTTTTCATCACAATGGTGCCTCGGTACTCTCTCCGTGTGCACTATTGAAGACGAAGGACTGATGCCTACACGTCACGCGGTGCATTCGTTTACATTATTACCTTGTCGAAAGGGAGCCCCGATATGTTGTCTGTAGCACAACGACAGCTCGGTTGAACCTATAACATCTAACCAAACCTATCCCTACAGCTCCATTTAACCTTTAAGAGGAGGGCAGTGTTTACCCTTGGAACAACCGACTCGCTACCTCACCGAACGAGTTGAATTTTTAGGTTCTCCGACGTTTGACGACCCTGACCGACCTGCACGCGTGATTGTACGGTAGCAGTCTCCAACTACGGGGTGCTCTCCCTCTCGGCGAGCAACACCAACAACACGCACCTTGGCCGTGGCTCTCATCTGCCTCTGGAAGACTTCGTCATCAGCGGTGGCTTCGTTGCCGTAGTTGAATTCGTCCAGAACTTCGCTTGCGACTGAGTCGGTAAAGGATGCCATCATGTCAGGTCGCTCTTCGATGTCGTCCGCTGCTGCCTGCGTAGTAGGCGATGTTATGGTCGTTTTCTTAAGGCGAATACCGTTTGGCGTTTACTCAGCACCGTCCTTTTCCAATACGGGCCCAATCAAGTGATACGATCTGGGTCCACACTGGGCGTCCTCTTATATCCAACAGACCCGTTTCGTCATAAACAACAAAACTTGAGTGTGACTACTATACGGCATCACTGTAGGTGGTCGCCGTTGTACGGTCGGTGAAGGTGTACTACGCCAATGGTACACCGATGTTGCGATGTTAACCCAGCGCGAGCACATGGATTTGGGAGTTGTTGCCGGTTGAGAAGGCATTGACACCGGCTCGACCTCTGTAGGTACCCACCTCTTCTTGATCTACGAGATCAATGGCCGCCCGTTTCGTAAACCGCTTGATATCAACGATCATCCCACGACGGCACAGCACGGAATCCGTGTCAACACTGTGGGTGCACGTACGCGTTTTGGTGCCGGCACGTCAGCGGTCAGAGGACGGCCGTTATTCCACTTCTGCACCCACCTCGTCCAGGGCCGAGAGCAAATCAGCCGCTCCTTTCGCCGCCCCGCAAAGGCTTCCCACTACCCCTTGCGTCAAGCACTCCTGGACGAATGGTCTATCCTGCGAGAATCGCGATATTAGGTTCCACAGCCCGTTGGCCGCGAGAGTTGATGTTCTGCGGGCACGGCAGTGAGAGGGAAATTAAGATATTTCAACATTGCTGTACTGGCTGGACGGTATTTTGCCCCGATTCTGTGCAACCCAAATCACCTAGAAATGAGTTGTTGTTGATGTTGCTTGCTCGATTTGGTAGATCGTTATGATCTAAGCGCCCCACCACCGCTCCATTCGCTCGAGAGCTTTCGTGCCAACAGGTCGAGACAAGACAAAATGACGTGTCGCACTTGCAACAAATTGAAACCATGGAAGTCATCCTACAGATACAACACGTCAGCACCTCTTTTCAATTTATTTCTGGTGTTACGCTTGTGACAATAATACGACACGCCTCTCCCATATTGTTCTCATTATTGTGTTGGTCAACCCCTGCTAGAGCTTATTCCAACCATGCCTGCCCACGACATGTGTGTGTTGTGGTAAGTTGCATGATGGAGAGTCGGCGCCTCCGCCAAGTAACACCCACCCTTCCTCTCCGTGAGCAAGAGCAACCCCGATAGACGTCAGAAAGGTCTGCATCATCTTGGTTTCCTTGCAGATTTCGGCCGTTATCCACGGCTTGCGCGCGAGGTTGCACAGCGCGCCTGTTGCGCACTCCCTGCATCGGTTGCACGTGGGTCACACACAGCAAGAAGCGTCGCAGAGATCGGACACACCGCGGCTGGTGTTTAACTAGGCGCACGTAGACAAGAGTACCAGACGACGAACACATACTAAGGCTGATGAGTGGTACATTGGGAAATACGCGAGAGATCGACAACATTGACTCGAACAAAAAATGTCGACTTCGCACAACAACTGCAGGAGCAGAATGCAGCAATATAGCAAGGCTTAGAGTGCCAGAGGTCAACGAGCGGAGTGTGAGGGGACCCGCCGAGAACAATGGTGGTCGACTTGCGGTACAGCCTCCGAAGTAAAACAAGAGGTGTAGAAGGAGAGGTACAAGGTGAGCCAATTTTCCGCTAGCGGGTTTCCTTGCCCAATGCGAGGTCGCGTTCCGAGTAGAGTACGACTAGAGCTTTGAGAGATGGAAGAAGAAGCATAGTCCGACGTCTGTCTCGCGCACATCATGCTCTAAGCAAGTGGCAAGCATCAGTGATCACACATAGCTTCAGGTGATTTCAGGTGAACTGAGACAATGCTTTTATCTATTTCCTCTATCGCCTGCAGCCAGGCGCACATTGAGCGAAGAAAACCGTTTGTAGTTTATGCGGTATACACGACGAGGTCTCCTCCCGCGGGCAAGCCATATTGCAAGCGGTTTGGACACGCTGGGGCAACGATTCATGATTCGCGTCGACCTTCAAATCCCTCCGTCCGGTCTCTGCGTCATCCCACATAGTTTTATCCTTTTCCGTAATAATTGGATCGTCGGCTGCTGAATGTCAGTTAGGAACGACCCGCATCCCCACTGTGTGAACACTCTTGCCGTGAAACTTTGTTGCTGCTCCGTAACTAGAAAATGTTCCTCACCGTACCTCTGATATCCTGCCATTTGGCCCAAGTCTTACCCCCCCCCCCCCCAGAAGCCCCCCCCCCCCCGGGGGCCTTGCGCCCGGGGATGGCTTCCTTCCCCCGGGCCACCCGCTGAAAAAAAAAACGAATACCCTTCGCGAACACCGAAACCAGGGTACCTTTTTTTTTTTTTCCAGCTTTTGTTTTTGGAGGAGGCCCATGTCGGTCGGGAAGCAAACACTTGGGTTTGCGGGGGAC